GCTTTAGTGTGCAGAAGAGGAGACTGAGGGGAGACCTCATTCATGTTTATAAATATTTAAAGGGTGAGTGTCACGAGGATGGAGCCAGGCTCTTCTCGGTGACAAACAATGATAGGACAAGGGGTAATGGTCACAAGCTGGAACACAGGAGGTTCCACTTCAATTTGAGAAGAAACTTCTTCTCAGTGAGGGTGACAGAGCACTGGACCAGGCTGCCCAGAGAGGTTGTGGAGTCTCCTTCTCTGGAGACATTCAAAACCTGCCTGGACGCCTTCCTGTGCAACCTCATCTGGGTGTTCCTGCTCCGGCAGGGGGATTGGACTGGATGATCTTTTGAGGTCCCTTCCAATCCCTAACGTTCTGTGATTCTGTGATTCTATTACCACATAAGCAATTCTCATTGCTTTTTTTTTTTCTTTGGGGGGGCGTAGGGGGAAGGAAGTGGGAGGTGAGGAGGAAGGAAATGAAGATAGCTTGTTCTCCTAGTTTTGTTACAGCCATTTATTCACTATTAGCTGTGTTGAACCCAAGTAAACAGGAACTTGGAGGTACTGGTTGGCCATCAGCTCTTCGTCCATGGCTTCACAGCAGCTTGAGGCTTCATTTCTGGGAATTTGGTTCTTGCACCTTGTCTTTGTATGAAGGGGCCTGGATGTAGGTGACTTGGGGTGTTTCCAAAGGCTTCCCTCCACCCTGTCAGTTCCTAACACATAAGCTATCTGCTTTTCTCCTTGGGTCCTCTGGGGCTTGCAAGTTTATAGAGTACCTTGCAGCTCTTCATCTGTAAGATTTTGGGCACAGGATCTGCCCTGACCCGAGGAGCTTTGTACCAAAACCCTCCTATGAGAGCACCTGTAAAATAGATGGTGTTGCTTTGCAAGCTGAAAGGAGAGGAGTCCTAGAGGTGTTCCCAAGGTTTGGTGTTGCTCCAGTTGTCTCATTGCCTCACTTGAAGAGAGGCTGAGCTGGGGCCCGTGGAGCTGTTAACTGAGCCTGCCATCTCCCGTGTCTTACTTCTGCCTTGACCAGGCAGTCCTCAGACCAGCACAGCTCTCTTGCCAGTCACATTTTGTAGTTGAGGAGCAGAAACCACATTTGGAAGGGGGCTGTGTGGCTCAGAAATTATGCCCTGGCCGTTCTTGGCATAAGTTGCTGCAGAACAGAAAAGGGAAGCATGCTATTATTCACAGAGATCATCCAGCTGTGTTATTTGTCTAGACTCTGTAAGACCCTTATCTTTTCTCAGCAGTCACTGCAGCTCTTAAGAGCCTTACAGATAAAGGCATTCAAAGGTTGAGAATTCTTCATTTTTGAGTTGTGGTGTTGCACCCTCCATGCCCAGGAAGCTGCTGCATGAGAGCTGCTGTGGGCTGTTGAGGTGGAGATAGATTAGGAGTCTGCAGAAGTTTAAGTTTAAATCCCAGTATCATGGTGAATTAACCCCATTAATTAGCGTTTACTGGTGCTAACGACATCACAACTTTCACTTATCTAGCAAATTAACAGTGTCATTTCTTGTACAACTAAGATAAGGCCACTGTGGGAAACACATGCCCCCATGGGAGGCTGAAACGCTTTCTGGCAGTGTAGATAGAGACGCCTGTGTCATCCATGGAGGACTGGGTTGGATAAGAAGGATGAAACTAGCACAAACTGCACAGCTTCACAGAACATGCAAAAGCAAAGGGCCAAGCTGGGTTTCTGTCACAGAGTGTTGTCTGATGGTTCTTCAGTGAGCTCAGACACCTCAGAGCTGTAGAGGTAGGATGGATTAAAGGCACTTTGCCCCAGATCATTAAGGATTTAACATAGGACAGCTGCTAGGTGCTTGGGAGATGCAATTACATACAACAGGCTGATTCTGCTGTGGGTCAGAAAGGCTTGCCCCTGCTCCTACAGCATCACATACCTGTAGCCATGTGGAAAATGGCTCTTGTTACCAGTGATACAACCTGCAGTGTGACTCTGTCCTCTCTAAGTCAGACTGCTTGATGTGCTCTGTGCAGAATTGCGCCTAAAACCTTTCCATAATCTACACCCTCTCTGTTCTGCTTGTTGTGCACGTTATATTGGTGAGCTGGCGTCCCTTCTGTCTGTTACACAGCACTGTCCTGCTGCTGCTTGAAAAATCTTTCTTTTTAGTACTGTATGTACTAAAGCCGGGCATGGCATCTTGGTAGACCTCTGCATCTCGATGTGGGCTAAGTCAGTGTGAGAGGGGTTTTTATTACAGTTGCTGCCTCAGGATGATAGGAGCACACGTGACAGACATCACCACTGTAAAATTTCAAGAAAAAATGGCAGTGCTGCTCAGGTTTTCAATGCATGATCTCTCAAGGCATAAAGTAATTATCTTGCTTATTATGTGAGAGGAGCTTCCTGGGTTAATTACCATTGGATTGCAACGTGAGTGAAATAGCTGAGTTGTTACCGGTTTACATTTTGCTGATTTCCAGTTCCTCAGCTGCCCTTGTTTTTTTCCTTCTATATGCTCAGTTAAACGTTTGCTCCCAAGACATTAAACAGCTGACTTTTTTTCACATACTTATAATGTGATGTCACATAGTTCAGCGAATTTCTAGAGGATTCCAAGAAAGCTGGGATGTCAGGCTACCCCCACAACATCTGCTGTGGTCCAGGGTAGTCGTGTGTGGTTGATCAATATGGATCCAATAGGGAGGGCATACTTTAGCCCTTGGCCACCAGCTCTCATGGTACAGATAAATACTACCCTTTCTGTATCTTATTTACAATGCAAAATTCTTTCTGCCTCTACATTTGCAGAGAGTGAAGAATGAATACGGCAGAGAATATGGCAATGTCAGCCTTAAACTTCTTAGATTTTACTTCAATTGCACTCTTCATTTGCCCCCCTCAAAATTATTTTACAATATACAGTATGACTTACTGTAACACTTAAACCTGTACTTCATTACTGGATATTTCTTGGTGACCAGTGTTTTGTTTTGTTTTGTTTTGGTTTTGAACATGACTGATGTTTAGGGGCACCCCATTTTTTTTTGGCTATCCAACTTGAGAAATATTACCTAGCCTTATTTTTGTGATCTTGCAAGTGGCCCACATGTTAAAAACTCAGCTGGCAGTAAATTTAGAATAGTACTTTTATTTTCTGAAGTGCCAGTTATTCTGATGGATTTGTTCAGCTTTCTTCCTAAATAGCTCCAACTAAAACATTTATCTTTTGAGATTGTTGGATCAATTGCAGTGTTCTACAGGCTGAAGCTTCTCTGCTTTTTTTTTTTGTCTTCCATGCAGATAAAGGGATATTTATTATCCAAAGTGAAGACTCCAACTTGTGCATTAAAGCGGACACAGATGGCCTTGTTCTGGAAGACTGTGGTCAGCTCTCAAAAGACATGCTATGGAAATGGGTATCCAATCGCCGTCTTTTCAACATAGGCAGAAGTACCTGCCTAGGACTGAACATCAGTAGACCAGAACAGCCATTGAGCATGCTCGAATGTGATTCAACTCAGTACTCATTATGGTGGAATTGTGATGGAAAAGCATTAGTTGGTGTATCAGGGTACAAATTAGCCATTGAAAACAGCAAACGTATTTTGGCCAAAAAAAAATCTACTCATCAGTGGAAGCAGTACATGTCCTATGATGAAGACCTTTGTGAACACCCATTTCAAGGTAAAAATAAAATTTTGTCGTAGAAATGTGGATGGGAAAAGTTTTCAAAAGTTCTTCTGAAGCAAGATCAGGTGCTTATGATCCCTTCTAGCCTCTCTTGTGGTTTGGAACTCAAAATTTGTTTTTTGTATGCAGTGGTTGAGGTGAGCATACTGCACAATTGATTCTTTTTTTCCTCATCTGTTATATGCATCCAAAAAAAGCACCAGTATCTTTGCAAACCAGGAAATGCTCATTTCAGATCCTCTATAGAGGGAACTAAGGATTTGCTGTTGTGTGTCCTGCAGCTTTCATTATCAGATAAACCCAAAGAGAGATAACAAAGGATTTGGAATTCCCATCACTGAAAATCAGTTTCTGACCGTGGTGTGCACGAACCAAATGTTTGCAGCGTTCAGCACCTGGACTCTGAATGTGCCAAACCTTGGAGCAGAGATCAGGCATTTGATTAATCCTGCTATACAGCTAGCAAAGGTGTAGGAATGTATGCCAAGATGCAGGTCTGCAGACCTGAACAGTTTTCCAGGTGTAAAGACTAAGATAAACCCACTAACTGCAAACAGCAACAGACAGACTGTACCTTGACCCCTTCCTTGGCATCTGTGTAGAAAGAAAGACCTAATGTTTGCTCAGCATGTCTCAGACTGGAGCTGTTGATTCTCCCCATTTGAACTGGGTGTTTGGGTTGCAGGTCTGGTCGCAGTGGTTTCCTCTGTAGGTGTAGCTGGGCTTGGCCTCTGCAACTCCAAAGTCATTCCTTTGGGAGCTGTGATAAGTGGGAAAACATTATAGCATCCACCCTCTTCTTTATAACCTAGCAGAGTTTATACTTAAGACCAGACAAAGTATTTAAACCCACAAAAAGTCTTACTCATTTTCCACATACACATAACAAAGATAAAAGTAGACCTGGTTTAGCCCTAGTGCTGCAACATCTGGGAGAGGAGGATCAGCCTTAGGCAGGTGCTTCTAGCCTGCTCTCAGGACCAAAGGCATTAATCGTGTTGGCAAAACCTCTTTCACCTCCAGTTTCTATTTCCCTTCTTCTACCTTAGCATACGCACGTGCAAATACAAGCCAGCCTCTTAGTCTGCCAGGCTGGGGAGCATCTGTACCTTCAAAGAAAAAGTGTATTTTAGCTATGATGAGAATACTATAGCTGTTGAATTTGGTTTCTTGCCAGGACTGAGATAATCCCTTGCACTCTGTAGCTGGCAGCATGGTAGCAGGCAGACAGAGAAGCAATCCTGATTTTTTTTTTACCCATGTTCTTTGTATCATCTGTTCATATCAGAAGGCTTTAAAGAGGATTTACAATGTATAAACCGCTTTTTGATATGTGCGCAGCCAGCCGTTAACTCTGAAAACCTCTAGGAACCTGGCAGTGTGTACTGATTCTGTAGCTGAAGGACTTTGATCTTTAAGCTATCAACACAGGATCTTTGACAAACAATTTCATTCTAAGTGTGATTGTGGGTCTTTGACCTTTTGTAGAAACTCTGAGGTTAAGGAGACACTCACTGAGGTAGAACGTGTACAGCTTTCAGTTGCACTGGATTCTCTCAATAATTTGCTACTCAAATGTACAGTAGGAAGATATTTTAAATATTTTATAAGGCATTAATTGATTGTGACAACAGATGTAAGTAACATCAATTCTTTAGATTATTATTCCCCATGGTATAAATACTTATTTTTAAAAGTTTATTTCATATTCCTTTGTCTTTCACATTTCCTTTCCCATAGAATGACAAAGAGAATGGAAAAAAGATTAGATATCCAGTTTGCATAGAGTAGGAGGAGCAGGGAAGATCACACTAAATTGCTTGTCTCTCATAGACTAACACATGTAAAATAAATAGTGTTTGCATCTGAGTGTGCATTGATTCTTTTAACAGTTGTTTTATGTAGTTGTTCTGAAATAGAAGTGCAGATTTTATGTGATAATTGTTCAGGAGTTTTTTAAATCGTAGTAAATTATAAGAGTGTGCCTTCTTTCATGGTCTGCATTCTTTTAATCTCTACGTTTTGTTTATTCCAGAAACATACACCTTGCTGGGAAATTCTTTTGGTTTCCCATGCATTTTTCCATTTAAATATAACAACAAGTGGTATTACGAGTGTACCAGAGATGGAAAGGAATTTGAGTGGTGCGCCACAACAACTCACTATGAACAAGATGAAAAATGGGGCTTTTGCCCAAATGCCGGTAAGGTGTTGCTTGTCTTCTCTCTCCCCCAGCCCCCAGGAGTAGCTTTGCTTTTTATTAGTAATTCTAGGAGGCACTCTGGTTTGGATTACTTCCCTTCTGTTAGAGAGGAATATCTCTTTAATAAACACAAAAGAACACTTTAGCAAATTTTACCATAATTTATCATGTTTGGCCTTTGGAGACCTAAGTCCTCATCCCAAAAGCAAAACCGCAGGGGGCGAGTGGAAGGATGTTATTCTGCAGAGCACATTGACCTTACCCTGCAGCTGAATCTCTCTCCTCTGTCCCAGTGATATAGAGAGAGCTTCTCTGAAGCTCGCAAGGTAGGGGTTGCTCCTGCAAAGTCACGTTCTGCTTTTGGCTGCATTACTTCTTGCGCATTCCTTTTCTTCTGTGCGCTATTTGGACACATGTTGGGCCTAAACCACCTGGAAGCAATAGCTTTAAATATATTTGCTCTTGGAAATATTTTGGTTGTATAATCTTCATGAATATTCCAGCTTCTTGCATAAATAAACAAAGGAGTATCTTCTGTCAGCAGAAGTGGTTTGGAAAAGCCCTTCCTGATGAAGTTATGTTTCAGATCTGTGTTCCAAAGTATCTTAAAAACAGCTGTAAATGTGTCCTTGTGATGGGGATTTCTGAGCAACTATTGTAATAGATGGTATTTTCAGCCTTGCTTATACTTTGTAAATATAAGAAGTTTATTCTCTTGAATACAAGGCAGAAGGAGATCCAGATGACTGCTCCTCAACAAGTTGGGTGAGGTGTTCATAGTCTGAATATTTCAACATTCAGCTCTAGGAACAAATGATCAGCTGCCATAAATTAAAACATAGCTCTGTTGGCTTCATGAGAGCTGTGAAAATCACCACTAGCTGCAGAACAGCTCCCGAGTCCTTTATCAACCGTATGAAATACAGAGCAACATTTTATTCCAGTAGCGCCCTATTTCTGTATGTTCTTTAACAAAGGAACATGAAAAGAGTTCTTAATTGTGCTTCCGTTGGGATGCTGCTGTCGTTAATAAATTGAATTGTTCAAGGGGTTATATTTCTGATTAGTTTGTAGTCCGGGCTGTTGGTGACAAGTCTGTTTTTGAGCAGAGAGTGGCTGTGACATTTTTTGGAAGAAGAACCCCAACACACACCTTTGCTACCAGTTCAACCTTGCGTCTGTGCTGCCCTGGCGTGACGCACGGGCTGCCTGTCAGCTGCAAGGAGGAGACCTGCTGAGTGTCACTGACCCTGAAGAGCAGAACTACATAAGTAACCTAAGCAGTGAGTAGACATTTCTCTGAGGACCTTGTAGGAAACCTGTAGCTAGATTTCATCTTTACCCATTAAAAAGGGGTAAGCTTTGGAGCTTAATATTTTGTGTGATGTCTCTCCCATTCAATGTGTCTTCATCACATAATACACCTCAGTAGAGCTGTTTGAAAAAGCAAGGGTGAAGGTAATAAACCGAGTGCAGAAGTGGCGGTATGGGTTTTGTGAGGGTGTAATTGTCTTAATTCTCCCTCCCCACGGACGCTCCTATTCATTCTTGCAGCTGTGGGTATGGACTGTGTTTGTTTTCTTTGGAGAATTACACAAATATTTACCTTCTGTGCTGTATACCCTGGTGTCTTTTTCTCTGGTTAAAGTTTCATTGCAAGCTGGACTCCACCAAATGTGGATGACTAGGACATTTCTGGAGGCTTGGAGTAAATGTCCTGCATAGGAAAAATGCCAGCTCTGTTTACAGAAGCAGATGGTATTCCTTCTCTGATAAGCCTTTTACTGTCCCCATTGCAGCAGGAGTCTCAGATAGATTTTGCAGAGCCTTCTGACAGTGTGGCTTTTGTGGGTGTTTTAGTGTCCGTGGAGAGGAGCAAGAGGCGGAATGGGTGGTGGAGCTGTCATGTGAAAGGCTGCCTCAGGTTTCTTGCCCGTTGCTTCCCATTATTGCTGATTTTCAATTGCAGGATATAAGCTAACAGGAAGTCTTTAAAATTATTTCATTAGCTTTTTGATGTGCCTGCAGGCTGTAAAGGGACTGAAAGTTGTTTGGTTTATGGAAAGTTGAAACAAGTTAGCATTTATGTAGCTGTTTGTTCCAGATTTAACTTCTAAGGTCATCAACAGCTTTTGCAGGAAGGGTTTGCAGCTTTTGAAGGATGCAGACTTTTGAGTTCATTCCTTTTCGTCTCTGTGTTGATTATCAAAGAAATAGACATTTTCTAAGGACAGAGAAAAGAGCCTGAGCTTTCTGGAGACTGATTTGAAGTTTTGTTTTGTTCCTGTTGTAATGAGTCAGGACAGCAGGTCTATACCTGTAGATATTTTAAAACATGGGGACAGTGTAAAACGTTATTTTGGGGGGTTTTTTTGCCTTGTTTCAGGGCAGTTAAACGCCACAGACATGATGCTGTGGATGGGTCTGAATCGCCTGGAGGAAGATGCCGGCTGGCAGTGGTCAGATGGAGCGCCGCTAGCGTTTGTGAACTGGAGAACAGGTACTTGATGTTCCTCTTGGAAATGTTACAGCAGTGTAATTATATGTTCTCTGTACCTGCAGCTTAGATACAAGAGTGCTGTTCCTATAGCTGTGTTTGAAAAATTAATCAACTGAACCAGTGTACCTATTTTTTCATAGAAATACTTACTCGTAGTCATATTCATTTATGGAAAGCCCCCTCTAGGGTTGTAGCATCTTTTGAAATGAATCTGTTGAAAGTGTGAATGATCTAGCCCTTTTGTCATTTACTTTTAAAGGTCTTTTTAAAATTCCAGTTGTGTATTTAAAAGCTATGTTCTAGCTAGTTTCATGGAGGGAAGCAGTTTTAATTTGTTTACATTGACATACTGTAATTAGTATCAGCACATTGACATGAGCTTTGTGACTTGGTTTGCTCCATTTTGAGGTCTGTCCATCAGCACATACAACATAGACACTAGAGCTTATTTCAGCCTCTCATCTGATAGCAGCAGCTGAGGAGGGATAGCCACACATGTATAGATCATGGTCAGTGTTCAGCTGTCCAGAGTATTGGTGTAATATTACTTGAAGTTTGGGTGTGCAAGGATGTTGATACATCAGTTCTGTAAGATGCATTTTACAAGTAAGAGCTGATTTTTTTTGTGATTGTGTTCTCAAAAATGTGTTTGCAGATATCACTGATCGCCATTTTAAAGAAAATCGTTGTGCAGTGATTAATTCAAAGTTGAAGTATGGCTGGCAAAGTTTTTTATGTGAATCTGGATTGCCTTTTGTATGCAAAAAATATTTAAACAAGACAAAGCATGAAACATTGGGTAAGTCTCTCAGTGTTACTGTATCCTACTTGTGGCTATGGAAGGAGAAGAGGAGGAAGCCACCTGAATATAAAGTCAGCAGAACAGAGTCTTATTTGGACTAAATATATGGGTTTGCTAGTTTAAGTTGAATACAGTTTGCCTTAACTGAAGTAGTAACACTTTCTTCTGTTTAAATGCAGTCCTGGAAAACACGTTGAGAGTCTTAAAACTAACGAATAATTTTAATATACATAGCATTTAATTGGTTCCGTACATGATCAGAGACTTACACAGTGCTCATTCTCTTTATATTATAATAGAGCCACTCTTTTAAAAATAGGTTTTCAGCTTCAAATGGAACTAACCAGTGACCCACAGAGAAGAAAGTTGTATAAATGCAGCTCAAAGTTTGCAGTTATTTTTATGGCATGCTGTATTTTTGGTACGCAAAAAAAAGCATTGTACATGTATTTCTGAGAGTGTTTATGTGATGAATATAGGATACATAGTACATAGAATGCCTCAGACTCCCGTTCTGTGAGAAAGTTAAACACAGAATTGAATTTATTAGAATGTCAATTTTTGTTTTGAGAAGAAAGAGCTACGTAGGTTCAACTTCTTCCCAATAACTTAAAGTTTCCCTACTTGTTTCAGTCAGATAATGAGAAAGGACTTACCAAACTCTTTGTAGGTAATGCACCTGAAAAAGCTTTAGCTGGTTTTGATTCATGTTCAGAGGTCATAAGGGAGATACAACATGTTTTAAACTCAATAACAGATCCATTAGTGTGTTTGTACTAGGTCCAGCAGCCAAAGTGGTTGAATCATTAAAATAAAGTGGTAGAAACTTCAGTTTGTTTGAGAGATGATGTTCCACAGAGCATGTGTGTTGGCCTCCTTAAGTCATCTTGGATGACTCTGTTTTTCAGCATTTGAAGATTAAAAAAAAAAGGCTCTGAATGTGTTGTGAACCTAGCATAACCTTGGCAATTCTAATATACACGAACTTTGTATGCTTAATTAAAAGATACATGGAAGTATTATGCCACTCGTTGTGATGCTGGCTGGTACCCACACAATCGCAACTGCTACAGACTTCATACAGAAGAGAAGAGCTGGAACGATGCTTTTACCTCATGCCAAAGTGACAGTAGTGGGCTCATTAGTATATCCTCCATGGCAGATGCAGAGCTGCTCCTTAAGTTGCTTGAAAGTGGTGAGTTTTGGGAGTTTGTTTAACGTGTGCAGCATTTTTTGTTTTGTGATGCTTTTCTATGCTCTGTTAACATTGTTAGCCACTTAAGCACTACATTACATGGCTCACCCAAATTGTGTCTACAAAAAAAGAAAGCATGATGCATTCTTCCTCTAGGGTTCTTAAAAATCTATATCATCATCTTCTCCAATAATCTATTTAACATAAAGAAATGAATCAACAAGTAAACACAGTGAGGACACAGTAAACACACTAGCTTTTGTCCTTTCCTGTTCCTGGCTGGTTCCTTGCAAATTGTTGCAAAATATTCAGTGATTGTCCTTATGCAAGAATTATGCTTAGAAGTAATAACAATTCAGAGTATCTTTTGCTTTCAGGCTGGCCTTGTCCACGTTGCAAAGTTGCTGCTGCTGCTGCTAGTACGTAGTAGGGCAGAGTCCCCTTTGATGGCAGCAGGGTGTATCAAAGGAGTTCTGCTAGTCCATGTTGTCCTCAGAGGTAGCATAATCACACAAGGAACTTAATGAACAAAAGCGTTTTGGTGCAGCAGCGCCAAGACTTCTGTTGTCAAAACAGCAGCAAAGAAAAGTGAGTATTTTCTGCCTCCAGGTGACATCAGTGTGCTGGCAGAGCTGCACAGTTTGGCCATGAGTTTAAGCTTCCCAGAGCTTTGACAAGTTTTATCAACTCTCTCTCAACAGCTGTGGCCGCAGGATGCTGCATTGCACTGGGCTTACTGGACGTCATCTCCTGTTATCCCTTCTGCCACCCATCCTCTTTGCTGTCCTGTCTGTCTTTTGCCCAGGAGATTAACCACTGTGTCATCTTCCTCATCCCTATTAACACCCTGCCTAGAAACCAAATACCGTTTTTTCCAGAGATGCTGTAATGGATAGATGTAATTGTATTCAGGTTTGAAGTCTGCTGCTTCTGTTTCAGACCTCCTTCAGGCTTCTCTTCAGGAAAACGGATTGTGTGCCTGAAAGCCTGGCTGCTTTTTCTGGCTGTAGTAGCTGGTCAATTAAGGCATTACATCAAACTGCAAGCCTTGTCTTTCCTATGTTTGCCAGCCTCTGTGGCTACAACTGTGCTGTCACTGGAACTTATAAGCATCACTCAGAGAAACCTAAAGCTGAGTGTGCCATGGAAGATTATAAAAATAAATCTTTCCCTTCCACATCAGGCTTTCTGCCCTGAGCACTTAAAAAAGGTGCATATGCTCTTAATTTCCATTTCCCAGTATTTCAAAGCATACTATTGCCTACGTTTATCTGTTTTTGAAATGACTTTGTCTTCAAGGGCAATAGAACATTATTTCATCAGTGAGTTTTCCTCAAGTTCATACAGCTTTTTTGTTTTTCTGAAAGAAAATAACTCTTAAGAAAATCCCATGATTTATTTTTAATAGTGGTGTTGATGTTACAGGAACAACAGGCATTATTTTTTCACTATTAAAATCTGAACTCACTTATTGTTTTACAGAAAATGTAACTGAAACATGGATTGGGTTATACAGTAATAACACCCCTGTTGTTTTTGAGTGGTCAGATGGCACCCCAGTAAAATTCTCAAACTGGCACAGCCAAGAACCTAACACCTTTCAGAGAACAGGACAACTCTGTGCTTCAGCACTAGGACCTGTAAGTTTCCTTTTCTTTCTGAAAGAATTGTGCACTTTTATTTTACCTCATAATAATTTTTTTTTTAATGTGCATACTTTGTTAAACCATGTAGACTGTAGACTTACTGTAGTTAAGCCTGCAGACTTTGTCTTTTGATTCCTAACGTATATACACCTTGTGATAAATGCAATGTAGCTTTTAGAGACCAATGCTTTTTGCAGCACCAGTGCGCAGAAACCGAATCATAGATTTTGAGCTTTTGGTCAATAAATTGTTACATACATAAAGCTTGCCAAATGGAAGAGAACAAATATGAGTAGATATTTTGATAAAGTCGAAGTAATTTAAAATCCAAGTAGTGTATAAGTTATGATGCATCGGTTCTGGTTTTGAAAGCTTCAAAGTCATGTTTTGAAAAACTGACAGCTGTGCCTGGTTTATCTTGCTGTCAATATTTATAAATTTTATGTAGTATCTTTCAAAAACTGATAGTAGTCCAGATCTGTATAAAATTATAGAAGGCGACAGCAGTAAGAGTGACCCCAAATCAGTCAAATGTTGTAAAACTGGGATCAGTGTTCAAACAACGCGATGTCCTGTCAGATCACAGTTCACGGCACTGTCAGTTTTTTCTCAATTTGGTCATAAATTTACTTCACTTTTACAATTAAGAATGCTTAAATTCACTAGTACATGACTTACATAAGTTGCAGTATAGGTTTTCTTAAATTATGTTTTGACAAAAGTGTGAAAACTGTATCAAAAAGAGTTGTGGTTGTTTTTGCAGTAGTCCAGGGTCTGGGTTGCAATCTTTAACTCATGGGGAAAGCCAAGAAAATTAGAGTGGCCTGGAAAAGTGGATTCCCATTGGAAGGAGAAAAAAAGACTTTGGTAAAACTGTGGGGTTTAGATACACAAAACCGTATTTTACTCAGTTTGCAAGTGTAAACGTACAAATAAAACTGTAAAATACAAAGGAAAAGGAAGTTAAAGATAGAATTCTTTAAGCATTATTTTGGTACGTGTCCAGTATGTATAGATGTCCAAAAATTATATCATACAAACATTTTAATAGCTGAGTAAGGACTGTTCAAATATAAATAATAATCTTACAAAGACCTATAACAGATAGGAAGAAAGTTCACTACATGATTCTGAAAAGTGAGTGTTCTGACATGGCCATGTTGTTAATTAAAATGCATTACATCCCAAAGAGTGATTCATCTAATTTCATATGATTGGTTTGAAAAGTCCTGCTGATGGTGTTGGTAGAAATAAATGGTCCATCTAAAGATAAATAAATGAGAGAGTGAGAAAAAATGTTCTTGTTTTTGTTTTTACTGAAATGTTAAAATAGGAGGAGGGAGTGTAATCTAATGGGTGTGTGTATAGACATGCATGAGAATATGATTATCTACAGAATATACTTCCTTTTTTTTTCCTTAGGAGGGACATTGGAAGCTTAAAAACTGTGAAGACAGATCTTCCTACATTTGTAAAAAAGCAGGGGAATTTAATAATGTATCTCCTGAGCTGGAATCAAGTTGTCCAGAGGTAAGGGGTCTTGTGAGTTTTGTTTGGTTTAGAGCCTTATTAATAAAACAGATTTATAGAGGAAACTTCTAAATGTAGCTATGGAACATACAGATGTAAATAGATAATTTTCATTTTTCAGATTAAAGACGTGCATGCTTTGCTAGGAAAAATCTAATTGTTTGCCTTAAAAGTATGTAAACTAAATTTCAGTGTAAGATTAAAAGCTTTCCCAAGGTGCCTTTCATAGCTCATTGCACTGTCAGCAGTTGTGACCCAAGTTCCCATTTTTTCCTAGATCAAAAGTGAAAACCGGTTTGTCCGCCATCTGTACAAATAATGGCTGCTATATGATGCCTCATCCCACACATGGTTTTCATACATTGAAATGGAATGCAGGGTGAAAAACAATCAGTTTCATTGACACGGAGAGCGAACTCTTCCACTCGTACGTTAGATTTTGCTTTCAAACACAAATGGGAAGGGGCACAGCTATCGAAATAGGACATTGCAACAGGTTTTCAGGCTGTTAGGCTCCATGTTCTGGTAGTAAACAGTAACATGTTGAAGTATGATTTTATTTGCCATTGGTTCCTTTTCACAGTGTCCGTAAGAACAAACCTGTAGACTTGGTGGTGTTATTCTTTTTTTCAAAACTCTAGAGGAGTTTTGTGAACTTTCATAAACAGAAACTTCTCTTTAGCTTGCTGTATCTTCTAGCTCGTTGTCTTCCTTTTTAAACTTGAGAAGTTAAGAAACATGACTAATTCAGTTGAATTATGAGAAGGTTGAAGCTGAACTGTTTGGAGTCAGATGCTGTCTTTCCCAAGATGTACAATGATCAGGTCCAGCATTCTGGTCATGCCATTATGGAGGCAGAAGTTACTGCATGGTTTCGGCTTAAAATTTCCAAAAGTTTAGGGTCATTTGGTTTCATTTGAACCAGTGTATTTCATCACTCAATAATTCTGTGTGTCGTTAGTGTATGAAAGGTTTGTCATAGTCCTGACCACGTGAAAAATGTTCAGAGCATCAAGACTTCCAGTTGTAGTCAGGAGCTTGAGAGCACTTCAGCTTTCGGTACCTCGTGGGATTGAGACCTCAGGAGATTGAGTCTCTGGTCATAGGTAGTTTGGTCTGCTCTGGCAAACTTCCTACTCAGGATAAATTTCTGCTTGTTGATGTTTCGCACCCTGTGAAAACATGTGCTCCTTGGTTTTGATAGATCCTTTTCTTTCTAATGTGAAAAAGTTCTATTCATTTAATCCAAAGAAGTCAGTACTAAGCTTACTCAAAGCTACATTTCATTTCAGACATTTTGTCTTGACAAGTCACTTTCTTTTAACATTCAATATATATGTTGATGCTAGTTATTGGCCCGATTTTCTAGGGCTAAGTCTTTATTTCATCCAGATTTACCTTTTTCCCCCACTTTTTCTGTTACTGACCTATGTGACATGTACAGAATATCTATTGGTGTTTCTCACATTTGATCTTTTGCTTCATTAACCTCGCACTGTCATTCGTGTTGGGTTGCTGGTAGATTCTCAGGGAGCTTTGGCCTTGGGCACAGTTGTTTGCTTTTCCAAAGCTTTATAGTCTTACATGTTATTACTGAGCTTTCATCTCATGTTGATTTTATGACTTGTGCATCAGATGAACTAGCCTTTAACATTTTATGTGGTTCTGCTGATTGCAGTTTTTGCAGTATGTCCATATCAAGTTGTTTTCAGAAATCTGAGCTCTTTTTTTCTCCTATACTCCTGTCATCCTAAGACATAAAAAGTGCTAAGCACTGTCTTCCCTTAGCAGGTCAACTATTCCTTTTTCCTAGTCAGCAGACTATTACTGAGAATAAATATTTTATTGCAAAGGTTAGAGCCTCTAGGCAGTTTTCCCCAACACTGAAATAAGTTCTAAACATTTTCTTTAAACCAGCTTTTGAAGCAGGTTGGGGAGCTGTCAGCTGCTTGATAATCGAGTTGGAGGTTTCTGTGTGCAGAACTGACTATATTTGTACTGGTGACTTTCTCTGGTGCTCTACACTTTAATTAGTGTACTTTTATCAGGAGATAAAAGTATAGTACTAAATCGAGCATTTATGGCTGTTGTAACAGAACAGGATTGTACTTTTAAGAAGAGAATTGCTATTAAAGCTGCAAAACCTCACAAAGAGCGGAAGGCAGCTGCTCAGAATGAGGGTTCCTTCATCCTCATGTTCTGCCTCCCACAAGTGATGTTTAGGGATGAGCAGACCAGGGCAAATACAGACATTCCCCCAATTTTCTCTCCCCTCCAACCATTCAGGGGATTTCCTGAGCCTTCTGAAATCTGTGTATCTAACAGCCCGCGTTGGGTTTTCCCTCCAAGTGCTTGTCTGGTTTCCCCTTGAACTTACGCGAACTCTTTGGTTTCACAACCCTAGTTAGTGAGGAGATCTGTAATTGCACCAACCTTTGAGTGCAAAAAATTCACTTCCTTTCCATGTTAAGCCTACGTCCTGCTATGTTAGCTTCGTTAGTCATCCCCAAGGTCTTGTATTGAAGCAGTCACCCACCTTCATGGCACTCCCAATGTGTCTAAGGCATCCTTTTTCCAGGCTGAAGAGTGCTAGCCTGCTTATGTGGAAGCATCTCCATACATTTCATTATCCTTGATACCCTTCTTTTCTAATATAATTTTCTGAGATTGGGGGTCAGAACTCAAAAAAAAAGAAAAAAAGCACAAAAAGTTAATTTATAACTACATAGTCACCTTCTCTGTTCTTTCTCTCCTCAGAGTTCTTTAAGACTTGATTTGACTTTTTCATTATTCTGATGTTTCATGGAACTCCACCATCATAACCCTCAAATCTCATTCCTGCATAGTGGGAGTGAGATAGCTGTGCCACACTTCACACATGAAATGACTGGGGGGTGCAGGGGCGATCACTTCATGTTTATCTGTACAGAATGCCATCGGACATTTTGTTCACCAACTACTCAGTCTTTTTCGTTCAGAATTTCTCAATCTATGCTTGCCCTCAGTGCAAACTTACCAGTCTCCAGCTACTCCACAATTTTGTTACTTTTTTAAAAAATAAGGATTAATGTCAAATTACTTTCCTTCAGTCTCTAGGCGCCATTTCTGAGAGGTTAGGATGATTGTGTTTGCTTCACTTGAAGCAGTGCATTTATCACTCAGGAATTCCCGTTACAGGAAAGTAGACGTTTGCTGTTTCTTACCTGTGTCCCTGGGTGCTGCAGAGCCCTTGGCACCAGCCAATGCGTGTTCCCCACGGGGAAGTCCCAGCTCATTGATGGAGCTAGGGAAGAGCTGCAAGCCAGTTGTTTATTTCTGTTCGCCAAGCCAACATCTGAGCAATGCAGATGTGTTGTTCAGGAGAAACCACAGCAAGCGATGCTGCAGTTTGTTTTGCTTCTGTGCTTTTGTGCCCTATGAAGGGCTGTGCCCAGCCACCTTCCAGGCACTGAAGGGGGTGACAGTGAAAGGCAGCAGAGCTGTCAGCTTCTCTGGCAGCAAACACTCTTCTCACTAGAAGCTTAAATTTGCCTCCCTAGATTCAGCTGAGCTGAGGGATATGCATAATATTTAATTGCTGTCCTGAACAGGTCTGCAGCATCTTCGATGCATTTTATTATACCTGAAGGTGGATAGCAGAAAAAGAGCTTATCTGTTTCCCCTTTTTTCTCCCTTTGCTGTTCGTGTCACCGTCAGGCGTTGTTTGATGGTGTCTGCCTGGGTGCTGTGCTTGCTCTCTGTTGTGCTGCTTTGCGAGCTCCCTGCAAGCAGCACCTCCCTCATGGAAGAGGCAAAGTGGGATCAGCTGGTTCCCCTGTCTGTGCGGGGCTTCAAAATACATTGGGCAGAGATGGTTTATCATCTCTTTAGTCTCTTGATGATTTAAAACACTCAAGCAGGAAGACAAGGCAGGTATGCTGCATGAACTCACACAGGCACAACTCGCTTCTGTCCTGGAAGAATCTTCTGGACACCCAGAGATGACTAATAAGAAATAAAAGATTAATAATAAGAAGAAATGAGGCAGACTGACTACCGACTCAGTGTTCTGGCTCATCCGATAAACCATGAAAATGTTTCATTTTAATTCTGCATTATTAGAGTAGGATGACTGTTAATTTTTTTTTTGTTAATTTGCAAGTTCTCTTTGAAAATGAGAAAGACAATTGAGAAAAGGCAAATAATTAGAGTGCATTGCTTTATGAAAAGCCAGCAATTTCTGGAATATTTCTGTTTACAGTTGAAGACAAAGGGCAGCTGTAATCCTTTTTTCTAACAACTTAACTGAATCTGACGTGGCAGTGTTTACCCTGCATTTCAGGTATTAGATACCAGCAATGAGTTACCACAGGTGGAAACTAACAAGTGCTACTACATGCTCCATGCAAACAGATGGCTGTCTGAGGGGCACGGCATGCCTCCCCAAATCAGCCAGGAAAACAATATTCGAAGTACAAAATTGAAACAAAAGTAGTATGCAAGGGGAGTACCCTAATGTTGCCCACATTTTTGTCATATTCATTAAAGACGTTATCGTGTGTGTGTGTGTGTGTGTGTGTGTGTGTTTGTGTGTGTTAAGCAAGTTTTTGCACAATTTAAGAGCTAAAACTTTAAACTTTTGTTAAATTTTCTGATATTTTTAGTGAAATTGAGGGTAACTATTCTTCAGCCACAGTGGAAGGGAACAGGCCTCTAGGGACGTCGGTGGTGATCACACGGAAAGTACAAAAGGGGATCAGTTTTTTAACAACTATATAATAATAATCTATAAAATAATGTTCATTTCTTTTAAGGGATGGGAAAGACATGGTGGATATTGTTACAAAATCGACAGTACCCCTCGAAGTTTTGAACATGCTTCCAGTGGTTATTTCTGCCCATCTGCACTTGTATCAGTAACAAACAGGTAGTTAATTCTATTAGACAGCGTGAAGATACCTCTAACAAGACCTATTCTAACTTTAGAAAGTGTTGCATGGCAAAAGATGTTACCGTTATGAAATAATACTTGTCTGAGAGGTGAGCATAATTACTAACATGGCTAAAATCAAAGGTGTGCTTTGCTTTATTTTGTAATTGAAAATAAATTTGGTAAAAAGCAATTGTTAGGGTAATAAACACTTACAGCACTGTGCACACGTGCGAGCATGCAGGAATCTAAACAAAATGCTTTCTACAGAGGTATGTAACATCTTGAAAAGACTTTATTTGTGTACTTGGAAACTATACTGAAAATAATTTAATTTTGATAATCAAAATATATCAAATTTTAATCCAAATCAATTAATGTTTTATAAACGTTTCTATTTATCTGTGCATTTTATGTGAGTTCTCAGCAATGTTAGAGTAAATGTTAGAAAGCACTGAGGTCTGTCTTCCCTTGCTCTCTTCCTGTGTACCTGTATTCCAGCTTCAGCAAAGGCTTTCTCTTCTGCAGATATGCTGATGCTTGGGTTTTCTGTGATCTCTTTGTGATTTACCCTGTATGTTGGATTCCCACGAAAGTTTAGGACATACTGATAGATATATTACATACATATGTTAACCTCCACGTATTTATTGTAAAAAAAAAAAAAAAAAAATTCAGGAGGAAGTGTCCCCTCACTTTAGGACAGGCGAAATACTGTAACCATCAGCAATCAGATGAGTGATAGCTAGAAATCTTAGGAAAACAGAGGCTACTCAACATAAGGATTTACATCAGTGGGAGCTGGCCTGCTGGGTGGTTTTGGGATTGTGCACAATGCATACAACGCTGTCTGACAGTAGTCCTTACTGGGAGGGTAAAGGACAAATTCTGGGCAGCTGAGCATTTGCAGCTGGAAATGTGTCTTCTGCCTTTCTCTGCTTATTTCTTTTAATTTGATTTTTGCTGCTATATAGCTATTCTTTTCACAGTGTTTGAAACCAAGAAGTCATATAAGTCTTCATCAAACAGAATTTACTTTGCTGCATATATTTTCATAGGAATCTGATTAACTGTGCTCATAAACTGAAGCATTCTTTGTATAATGCTATACTCATTACATCTGAATAAGTGATGTGTAAGTGACAAATGGGTTACTTACCATATGCAACAGTTCTTACTTGCAAAAAGGTACGAATCTCTCAGCTTTAATGCAGAAATTAAAGAAGGAAAAAAGTGATTCATTCCGTAGTCAGATCAGCTGGTGCTTTGAGTCCTTCAGCTCTGGTTTCTTAGCACTGGTTTGTGTGCCCATTTCTCATAGGATACTCCTGTGCAGAGCTTTTTCTTTTCTTTCTTCTGTAGCTTTTTCAGACCACGCTATATTTTCTCCTTCATACACAGAGTTTCCTTTTTTTTATCTATGCATCATTAGTATATTCTGTCTTGACATCTTGTAGTTCAAGCACTCAGCTTACTAGATCTTTATCTACTGTTTCTTTTATGTGTCCAAATGCTGGGGGAAAAAAAAAAGAAGGAAGTATTATGGTTATGCTACAGACTTGTGCCAGAAGGTCCCCACAGAATTCTATAAAGAAAATTTAAGTATCCTTTATGTATTTTCTCTTCTTGCATAATTTAAATCATTTCATGAAAGCTATTCACTGAAATACCTATTTTATTCTAATAAGCTTTTTGTCTTGATTATTTTATTAAGGTTTGAACAAGCTTTTATCAACAGCATGATCCGTAGCATGGTAAAATCTGAGAGAACTTATTTTTGGATAGGACTGCAAGACCTTAACAACACAGGAGAATACTTTTGGCTAAGCACAGAGGGAAAGAATCGCTCCGTGAGCTACACAAACTGGAACAAGTACCAGCCACGTGAGTAACACGCTGGTAGAAAAAGAAACAGCTTGGAGGGGGCAAGGCCATACTCTCCTTGCCGACACAGCTAATCACTGAAATTTTAGGGCTCTGCTCAGGCTTGGATCACTTTGTAACTCCATTTTCTCCATGATCTGCTGGGAAGGCAAAGAGTAATATGAAAACTTGTGAGTTGGAGGTGATCTCCTTTTCCACAGCGGTCACTAGGAAAAGACTGAATCAGGAAGAAAATGTACTTTCTTTTTCTGCAAGGTGTTTTTCATGGGTTTTTTTGGTGGTCTTCTCAAGGAGGCCAGTAGGGCTTCCTGAGGCTCTCAGCAAAAGATCCCAGAGAAGTAATGAATTTTATTGAGTAACAGTCACAGAGGGGACAGTTTGTCTTAGATACATTTCTGGCAATAAGAGCACCACATAGAAGTTTTTTCTTCTTCCCCTTTAGTTTGCTGATACTTCGTTTGCCTGTTTGATTTTGTTTGTTTTATATTAATCCAAAGGAACACGTTCCAAGAAAACAAAAATGAAAAGATGAAGTAGTTGTTCATCCTTTGAAACATAAAGCAATATGTTAGCTTTACCTGCTATAAAGCAATATCTGATTGCCTGATAAAGCAATATCTTAGCAGTACCTGAGAACAGAGACATACAAATAAAGAAACTCCATTTCACTAACTGTTTCTCAGTTTTGGACATTTATTCCTTTACTACTGCAGTTTGCAAAAGTACTGTTTTAAATTGCAGTTCACCTCCTGCATTTTGTGAGAAATCCTTCTTCATGGTTTATTTTACGAGCTCAAGTCAGCCAAGACAGGCTTGTAAACTGGTCACTGACCAGCGAATCTGCTACTTGTGTAAGCTCATCCAGGTTTTATCCAGGACCTGATGCCAGTAAAACAGCCACTCGACCAAAAATGCACAAAATTCCAATGCTTTGTTCTGATACTCAACACTTATCCCTATGTCTAGGTCATTCTGGAGGATGTGTGGCTGTGCGAGGACAGCACCCTGTTGGTTACTGGGAGGTGAAAAGCTGTAAAAACTTAAAAGCAATGTCACTGTGCAAGCAAAAAATCAATTCTTATGAAGAACCGGAACTTACTTTTCAAAAACATTTGAGTTCCTGCTATTTTGGATGGGAGTCGGAAGCTAATCTGCTCAACTGCTACAAGGTACACAACGAACTTGCTTTGAATTTTTCTGATTCTGCATCAGCTTAGGGATACACTGTTCCTAAAATATTTTTGAGAAAGCATTATTTTCTTCACTCAACAAGCAGCAGTTGTGCCATCTTTCACTGTATTTTAAATTGAGTGAAAGTCTTAAGACTTGAATCAGAACTATACTTGGAATGTACATGGGTTTATTGTAGGAAAAACTGCAACTAATGTTTGGTTTTTATGGGTTTCTGAAACAGCTGCTTTCCAAAATCAACTATGTTTATGGCAGTGTTTATTTTATTACAGATATTTCACAATGAGAAAGTTCTGATGAGAAGAACATGGGAAGAGGCAGAAGCGTTATGCCAAGATTTTGGAGCACATCTCGCTAGTTTTAGCCATATCTATGAAGAGACATTTTTAAACAATTTATTATATACAATTTTTGATAGGTAAATATATTTTTTAACACCCAACAAGATTTACCTTAATCATACTAATTTGTAAAAATAGTCTGCAGTTTAGGTTCTTCCATCCTCTTTACTAGTGGCTAAAGAAGTCTCTACTCTTAACTAACATGAACTTAGCAATGGGTGAAAAAGGTATATTAGCAACAGTGTAATGTGATTCTTTTTGAAGATGATCTTTGTATATGTCAAGCAACTGCTAATGCCAAGGTGATATTGTTGTGAGTTAACATTCCCTGTTGAAATGGAGGTTCAACAGTTTTAATCCTATTTTAAATGTTTTTGTCTTTAAAAATATAACATTTTAGTAGGAAAACCAGAGCCTACTTCAAGAATACTAAAAATTTAAGAAATTTGTTTTCAGAATGATATATTGAATTCAAGAAGAAATTAATATGGTTATTTACATTATTTTAAAAAATATTTCTGAAATAGCTAAGGAAAAAAATGTATGAGAAATGTTATTTTCTTTGTTTCCATCATAGGACAGAAGAAAGACAGTTCTGGATTGGATTTAATAAAAGAAACCTGCTTTCTGAAGGGACATGGCAGTGGTCTGACAGAACACCTGTAATTGTCAATATACTATATATTTCAGTAACCTTTCAAGTCATATCTGAGCATAAGTTCACAAAAAAAAGCCTTGTGAGCAGATGTTGGCCAAGAGCACTGTTTGTTATTCATGTCCACATACTTAAAGTAATTGTTACAACAGGATTAGTAGTAAACTACTATTAAAATAGCAGCCTCTGCAAAAGGGCTGTGCAACTGCGAAAGGAATTTGGTGGGATTACAAAGGTTTGCAGATGTGTGCTTTCCCACAAAGCACGTTGTGTTTAGCCCAGGTCCAGGCATATGCAGTGTGAACACATACATGTATATATACACACATGTACTGGAAAGCCTTAGAGCTGTGCCTGTGTGCTTTGTTTGTTCTATGACTGTTAGGTTCATGCCTGCATTCAGAGCTAAGTCTTTGCTTTTTTAATACCGCTCCATTTTGCATCCTTGAAAGTGTGGGTGCCACATGCCACGCTAATGCTTAGTACCTGGGATTTAAACATCAAACAGCTGAAGAAGGGACAATTTTTAAACTGCAATTGGTTTTCAGCCTTAAAGAACAGTGCCAGCTCTGCCATCATTATTTAAGTCATTTCAGAATGCAAGTGCAAAGTTCAGTCACGCAACACATTAAACCAAAGCAAAGGCCGTTAGGTGCGACCAACCACTGCTAATCATGTCAAAAATTGTTAGGTTTCATAGCTATTCAGTGATTTTTAGGGAGGAGGAGTCAGAAGTAATATGGTAAAGTTGAACAGAACACTGCAAGAACACGATTATGGGCCCCATTTTTCAGTTTTTGCCACCATAATTCAGGTGGTGATTTAGTCCTCCAGTTGTTGCTTATGATGTTCTTACCATAGGCATATCTCCACATCCCTCCTTTTTCTCCATAACGAGATTGTGAAATGCTTCGTCTTGGATTGTCGGTGAAGGATAACGAATGTGTTGTTTTCAGGTTGTATCATCATTTTTGGAGAGCAAATATATTGAAGACGACTCAAGAAACTGCGGTGTGTTCAAAGTAAATAGTACAGTCTTCCCAGCACACTGCAATGAAAAGCGTGAATGGATATGCAAAATACCAAAAGGTGAAATTTTAATTAATGTGCATTGTCTGTTATACCCAGGACTTGTAATTCAGGAGAGGCAAGGAAAAAAAATTATCTAAAAGCCTGCTTTGTAGCCACATCTGGAGTTCTCCTCATTGATCTTCTGCATGGAATCATGGCAAAGCTGTATGTGCCCATTAGGGTTTGTTGGCCACTTAACAGGTCTGACATGTGCAGTCAGTTTATAAATGGATAGCAATGATTAGCACTTAGTGCTTAGCAGGAGTTATTCAAAGTTCTTCTTTGTAAAGGTTACTAAAAATATTGTTTAGTGAGTGTGACAGTTATTTTCTTTTATTCCATGTTTAACTCCTCTTTTTTTGCCCTGAATGAGAATAGCAGTATTCTTCATCATTTTGATTAAGTGTACCATGTGTAGAATGCAATTTCAGTGAAATATCTCTTTTCATTCTTAATCAGCAATATTTAAATTTATTTATGTGTTTTTTTTAGGTGTTAAACCAAAGAATCCAAGTTGGTACATAGCCGGTACGAAAACATTTTCTTTTCTCACATCTTCAAGCATTATAATTTGGAAATATAATTTAAGTCATTGGTAAAAATAAAATAACTAAAATGTTCTGAGTTTAAAATTTAGATTAAGGAACTCCGTAGGAACTTGTTGGTACAGATCCAAATCTACCACTCTTCTGTTCAGAAACACTGAAACATCAGATTCAGCTTTGGTTAGATATAAAGGAATGTTGCCAGTAATACGCACAGGAGTTTGATAACCTTTCCATCACATTAAAACTGTCTTTTTGCAAAGCCTGGGCAACTCTCTTAATATTACTGCAGCATCACAGGATAGAATTAAAAAAAAATAGTGCTTTTATTTTTTTCCATAACTTCACAGAATCACAGAATCACAGA